GATTCAGCAACTTTGGTGAACAATTTGCTTAATTTCTTTTGAAAATAAATACCAACCTTACAACCCAGCAGTTCTACTCTTATTTTAAAAAGAGAGTAATAGCATGTGTCCACAAAAAGACTTGCACAAGAATTCTCATAGTAGTCTTTACCATACTAGACAAACTGACAAATCCAAACGTCCATCAACAGAATGAATACAAAGTGAAATACAGAATATTATACAGTGGAATATTACTTACAAAAAAGGAGCGAACTACTGATACAGAGAACAACATGGATAACTATCACAAAATTAATGCTGTCACTTTATAACTGTACTTGTATGAAGTTCTAGAACAAACAGAATAAATCTTGCTTAAAAATGTCAAAAAGTTGTTTCAGCGAAGCTGAAGAAGGGATGATCGGTAGGGAAGGGAAATAAATGAGGATACTTTCTTGGGTTATGGAAATGTTATACGTATTTGTCAAAACTCATCAAATTGCAGATTTAATATTTATGTTATTTCTGTGTGTTGAGTTTTATATAAAATCAAAATTGTGAACAAATAAAAAGTAAACGTTAACAGTGGAAAAATTCTCAAATTTTCAATGATCACTATACCAAAACAACACACTCACAAAAATCTATAATACACTTATAGATATATTTATTGAATATGTTTCCAGAAAAATTACAATTTAAAAGTGTATTTTATTATATATTTAGCCTTCTTATAAGATCACTACAGTTTTTTACAATAGGATAATATTAATAAGAATTAATATATAAATGTACTTTTTCAAGGGATTATAATACTGAAATAGGCTACGAGTAACAATTAAAACCATTTTCCCCTGAATTTTTCAAGATATTGACATTAAATATTTAAATTAATTCTACGAAGTGGTTTGGGAATCTGATCTTGTGTGATCTCAGAGCTTAGTATTATGACAGATGAGTCAAGTAGCAATTAATCAAACAAACCTGTATGCAAATGTACAAGCACAGCCAGAGTCATTTCCAAAAGAAATATGAAAACCTGCTTTGATACAGCATGTTGACAATGCAAGTTTTAAAGTGTCTAAAAGTAAGTAAGTAAGTAAATAAATAAATAAATAAATAAATAAAGGTCCTAACACTTTGGAGTAAACAGACAAATACTTTCTTGTGAATGATATATTCAGATTTTTACATTCCTCCTTCAATATCTGTGTGAGCACAGGAGATAAGCTATTTGATTCCATTTACTTTTGTTTTTGAAGATAAAATTTAGCATAAATATAATCCACTAAAATGTTAACGGAAAAAATTCGTTACGAAACCAGAGATGTATTAAAAAAACAAAACTGAACCAATTTGAATTTTTGTGCCCAAATGACAGTTCATGAAACCATCAAGTGGTTGTCTAAAGATGCTACTATAAAATTTTGGTTCTCTTTAAAAACTCAGATGTTTAGAATAAAGAGTCTTCGATGACAAAAAGTTTATAAGACAGGTCCCCCAATACTTAGGAACATACACTAATTACCAAATGTTTCATAATGAGTTAATGGCTTAAATTCACACTATGTGGAATCTTGCTACTAGAGGAACACTGCCTGTTCAGGGAAATCAGGAAGGGTTTACTATCACGCTAAATAACAATATATTGGAAAAATGTCATTATGTACTTAATACAGTCTGTTATATTTTAACAAGTGTTAGTCATAATGGTAATGAAAATTAACTTTCTGGGAAATAACTTGTTTTTGATCTCTTAAGATGGCAAAGCTATAGTAGAGCTCTAGGAGTAATATGCTGATGCATAATCATCATTCTAACCAAATGACCTACAGGAATTAATACAAAGAAAGAATAACGAAACTCTTACACTACTTAAAAAAAAATGAAAATCTTAAAATAAAAATCACACTTAGAGCAAGATACAAAAGAATGAGATAAAAGATACATTTCTTACCTGCAGAAGAATAGAACACACACAAACAAATGTTAACATCTTAGATACATTTTGATCCCATACACATGACTTTCTAGAGGAAAGTAAAACTAATTAATAATGTAAAAATATCATTATCAGTGATTTAGTAGGGGGTGGGAACATGGATTAACTAGAAAGAGCATGAGGGAACTTTCTGGGGTGACAATAATGTCCTCCTAGATCTTTTCTGTGGTGGTAGTTACACAGCCATACACATTTGTCAAAAGTTAGAGAATGTACACTTAATGATTGTATACTTTAGTGTATGTAAGTTTTAAATCAAAAGGAAAAACCTGTAAAAATGTTGAACTCTAGCTAATGATTTCCTATGTTGAAGAATTTAGGGTCCTATGTACTTATGCCTGGATCTACCTGAAATGCATCAACTAAGTGAGATGAATTGATCAACAGAGGGAAGGATGAATAAATGTAGAAATAAATGTAATAAATTACTTTCAGGAAAATATTAACAATGGATTCCAAGTGGTTGGTGAATAAATGTTTGCGGTTAAGGTTCTTATGACTTTGCAATATGTTAGAAATATTTCCTAATAAAATGCTGGCAAAAGTTGAAAGTACAAATGAAAAAGGCTATGACACTACGATACTTAAGTAGAATTTAAAGTAATAAATATAAAAAAGATAACAACATGAATGGAGCTAAAGAATATTATAGATGGAATCATGGTTACCAGAGGGGAGATGGGCCGGGGGATGGGTGAAATAGGTGACTGGGATTAGAGGAATGTACTTGTGATGAGCACTGGGTGATGTATAGAATTGCTGAATCATACACCTGAAACTAATATAACACTGTATGTTAACTTACTGGGATTAAAATAGAAAACTTAAAAAAGGTAACAATACACATTTCATAGGAATAGTGAGATACAGTTATCCTAAAAATTTAAGTACATCACCACATGGCTTTAAAAGAACTAAGATAAAAGGTGACAGAATTAAAAAGAGAGATATTCATCCTAATTGTTTGGTAGTTTCTTTTATTTTTATTATTTTTTCAACTTTTTTTAAAAGTAGGCTCCATGTCTAACGTGAGGCTTGAACTCACGACCCCAAGATTAAGAGTCTCATACTTTACCGAATGAGCTAGCCAGACACCCCATCATTTGATAGTTTAAACATGTCTCTCAGAAACTGATAAAACAAGCAACAATAAATCTATGAACATAAAATTCAAATACATGACTAATCTACTTTGCTTAAATAACATATAGATAACACTACATTCAGCAACTGCAAAATACACAATATTTTAAATAGTACATATCTAACAAATAGGGACTGTTTTAGGTCCTAAGGCAGGTATCAACAAGTTTCTAAAGACTGAATCATATAGATTGTTTTCCCACCATGTAATTAAATTCCAACTCAATGACAGAAAGATAATCTCAAATTTCCTCATGTTTAAGTATTAAGCAACACATTTCTAAATGATTCACA